AATCACGTAAGAGCACTCCATCATGCTATATAGGACGGTACAACCCTTTGAGAAAACAGTAAAACCGTGAAAAAAGCCCTTTAGAAGATATCTGACTCATTTTAAAAACCTCTTTTGAAAATATCCTTTTCCAACAGTCAAGCAAATGAATGCGTAATCAGATAGTGCAAGTCCGCACATAAGTCAGCCCCTCGGGCACAGCACTCCACTAACAATTAACACCAGGGCGTCTCGTAAACAGTGCAAGATGTAGCATGAATGCCAATGAAATGAGAGTGCTGAATGTCATGACACGTATTACAAACTAGAACCAATGCATGAATGCAATGCAATGCATATGACCGCTGCGGCGCGTAACCCGATCCATTTGGGTACCCGCGCTCACTGTGGGGGTTCAGACTCCGGAAGGGCTCCTACAGCCCAAGTGCAATATCATCATAGCATCGCTGCGGCGTGCAGCCCGATCCATCCTCAGTCCAGAACATGCAAATGAGCCACTCGGGCAATGTCAGGTAATAGCTTTTAACTCAAACATCAGAAAAATGCAATTTAAGTCTTTAAACTTTAACAATATGACTGCACATTTCAAAACAGGGTTTAACTCAGGACTGAAATCATTTAATATGCTAAGTGTCATGAAAACAGTGATAATAATCCCTAAAGGATTCAAATAATCGGCACGAAGCCCAAAACATGGCAATCAACCCAAATCACGATAGCATCAAGTAGGTTTCAGTCAATTACGCAGTAAAATCAACAACCGGGATGGACCAAGTCACAATCCCCAACGGTGCTCTAGCCCACGCTCATACCTGGCGTGCAAGTCACCACAATACAACACTATGATGTGCAAATCCGGGGTTTCAAACCCTCAGGATATCATTTACAAGTATTACTCACCTCGAACTGGTGAAATCTCTAGCTCTCGACGCCTTTGCCCCTCAAACCGGACTCCACGCGCGTCGAATCTAACCAAAATCAGAGCGAATACATTACAATATACCAAGGGAACAATACCCAATCG